TGATCAGACTATCCCAGTCTATGTACATAAATAAGGTACTAAAAAGGTTTAGTATGAAAGAATCCAAATGTGGATATATTCCAATGAGTCATGGGGTTTTACTTTCTAAAACGATGTCTCCAAAGACACCTGAAGAAAGAAAACGGATGAGTCATATACCTTATGCATCAGCTATTGGTAGCATTATGTATGGAATGTTATGTACAAAACCTGATGTGGATCATGCACTTAGTGTAACAAGCAGATATCATTCTAATCGAGGTGAAGAACACTGGAAAGCCGTTAAGATGATTCTTAAGTACTTACGAAGGACTAAGGATATCTTTATGGTATATGACAATGGAGAATTGAAACTAGAAGGCTTTACTGATTCTGGTCTTCAGTCCGATAAAGATGACTTTAAATCCATGTCTGGTTACTTGTTTACTCTGAATGGAGCAGCAGTTAGTTGGAAAAGTTCCAAACAAGAAACGATTGCTGACTCTACAATAGAGGCTGAATATAATGCTGCATCTGATGCTGCAAAGCAAGCTGTTTGGATAAGGAACTTCATCCAAGGGTTGGGTGTAGTACCATCTGTTGTTAATCCAATAATGATTTATTGTGGTAACAATGGGGCTATTGCGCAAGCAAAGGAACCAAGATCTCATCAAAAATCCAAACACATTATGAGACGATACCATTTGATTAGAGAAATCATTGGTAGAGGAGACGTCGTAATGGAGCGAGTCGAATCAGCAGAAAATATAGCAGATCCCTTAACTAAGCCTTTATCACAGAAAGTGTTTGAAGAACATCTTGAGCAGATAGGTCTAAGATACATGAGTGATTAGAACTAGGGCAAGTGGGAGATTGTTGGAGTAGTATACCCGGAGTTCCAATCAGATTGGACGTATTCTACTTAAAATACAATCTATTGGAATTATATTAAATAATAAGGCATTACTTTATTTTAAGAGTAAGCATTTATCATATATTTGCACTTAAGATAAAATCCCTAGATCACTTATAGCTATAAGATATGGTTGCGCATAGAGATGGTGATCATGGAACATATCTTGAAAGCTGTGATCTTAAATACAGTTCCAAGTCGTTGGATATTTCAAGATGGGATATCGAATAAATTCGGAAAAGACTTGCACATAGTATGTGATGGGTTTCCTCTCAGATCTGGAACGGTCCAATGAGAAAATGTCCGGATCTGGGACGAACCGGTATGGATGAGCTTAGATCTGATGTGATGGCGATCGAGCCGTTGTTGTTGAGCCGCAA